AAAAAAAAAAAAAAAAACTCAGTCTGTCTGTCCTACTGGAAACCTATGCATGCTCCACAGTCAGGATTTTGTTTCCTAGGAAAGAAGCATCAAATTTGCAAAGTTAGAGCTCCTCAATGGCATGTCAACTGGCTAATCCATTACCATATAATTTTCCTCTGGTTATTGTGTATGATCACTCTTCTTGGGGAGAACTATGAGGCTTATGGTGTGCAGAGCTTAACATTTAATGGGAAACAAAATACATGTCCCAATACCTAATTTTTGCATGGTAAATGGCTCTGAGAAAATAGAGCAAGGCAAGGAGGATATGGACTTGTGGATTGCTGCTTTATATTAGAAGCTCAGGGAAGATCTCTCTAATAACTGACATTTGAGTAGAGGCCTGGAAAAAATGAAGAGCTGGCTGGAATAGTGGGCCAGGCAGGCTCTTGTATCCATCTCTACTGTGTAAACAGATATACTTAGTACAAGGAAGGTGATACCCATTCTGCCACTTTTACTACGTGGAATAAAACTTTAAACACATTCGGTCTACTCTTCCTGAAATACAACTGTGTATACTTACCATCACCTTTTCCCTTTTGCTTACCAAACTTGAAGTTTTACAAATTCAACTTGTTCTAATCCATGGGCTTTTTTTGGAGACGGGATCTTGATCTGTTGCCCAGGGCTAGAGGGCAGTGGTGTCAACATAGCTCACTACAGCCTCAAACTCCTAGGCTTAAGCAATCCTCCTACTTCAGCCTCTTTAAGTACTGAGATTGCAAGTATGAACGACCATGCCCAGCTCAATCAGCAGTATTTAATACTTCTTTTTAATAATAATATAAATTTCTTCTTTTTCATTTTTTTTTAAGTTTTATTCTTTTTTTATTTTTTTTGAGACAGAGTCTTGCTCTGCCACCCAAGCTAGAGTGCCATGGCCTCAGCCTAGCTCATAGCAACCTCAAACTCCTGGGCTCACACGATCCTCCTGCCTTAGCCTCTGAAACAGCAAAAACTATAGTGCCCATGACAACACCTGGCTAATTTTTGCATTTCTAGTAGAAGCGGGGTCTTACTTAGGCTGGTCTCAAAACTCCTAACCTCAAGTGATCCTCCAGCCTCAGCCTCCCAGAGTGCTAGGATTACAGGTATGAGCCATTGCACCTGGCCTAATAATTCCTTTTGATCAAATTGTCACAACCTGGCTAGTGGGAACCCCATTTAACAGATTGTTTTGTCCTCTCAACACATTTGGAAAGCACTTATTTTCATTAACAAGATATTCCAGGCCCCCTGTGTTCCCTACCCCTAAACATATAATTAGCCCCTCTCCTGAGTGCTATTAGAGGCCCAAGCTAGCCCAGGGTATACGTCCTACTTGATCTGCAAAAGCACTAGGACAGTGCTGTTGAGACACCAGGGACACAGACCTGGGAGTCAGATCTTTTCAAGGTCCCAAATTCACCATGTCATATCATGATTTCGTTTATATGTAATATCCAGAAAAGGTAATCTATAGACACAGAGCAGATCAGTGGTTGTCTGGGGCTGGAATTTGAAGTAGAAAGTTTTTGAGAATGATAGAAATGGTAAAGAATTGTGGTAAGGACATAAACCTGATGAAAATCATTGGACTTTTATTTAAAACATTTTATCAGGATGTAAATTATCTCTTTGCTCAAAATTGTTAAAAAAATTAAACCCTCTTCCAACTCTACTTATACCTCGCTAATTGGTTATACACCATTACACTGATTTTAA